TTTTTATGGCTGTTAACCCAAACTGGTATGAGGTGTGTGAGCTGATTAAGCCAAGGATTGCTATGTGGTTAAATCCACATCTGAAGGATTTTAATTTCACAATTAATGATTTCATTTGTAACATAAGGCAGGTCAGATTGTGCCTTGGAGGTGCAGTGATGCTGTGAGTTTGAGTTGAGCCCAGTTAAACCTGCATTGATTGATGAACTGAATGGTTGGTGTATTTAATGGACATCATGGCAGTATGTGTAATGGGTTACTATGGGGTGTGTTGGTGTGTGTTGGTGGACTGTATCTGAAGGGTGCCTTTTGGTGGAATGCATCTGAGATGGTGAGGTCTGCATCTGGGTTTTTGGTGGTCTGCTGTGAGAAAGCTCTGTGCTGGTCTGCATCTGTTTTGGCTGCAGCTATGCTGGTATGGCTGGTATGGCTGTAATGCTGGATTTGTTAAGTTCTGGTTGCTATTCTGTTTTGCAATGGGTTTTGTAATGCTGCTGTCCAGTTTGCTCCAGGTGCTGTGTTGATGTTATGGGTTGAAGTTTGGGGTGGTAATGCTTACTGTCTGGATGCTGTTGGGTCAACGATTGGGGCTGCCTCTGCTATGCTCATGCTTTGTTGTTGGTATTTCATGGTTTTGTAGATTGTCTGTTCAATTTTGGCTGGTATCTGCTGGTAGCTGTTCTGCTAAATTTTGCTGATCAATTCTGGTTGGTATCTGCTGGTATCTGTGTTTGTCTGGTTCTTCTTTTCTTGTTTGTTGTTAGTTTCTCACCAACTGGAGCTTGGAGCTTGTGTTAGCTCCAAGCTCCTCTTTATTGATGTACTCGATCATCCTTCTCATGTTCTCATCAATAAAGATTTATTTTGCCGATCAAAAAAAAAAATTTGATAAAATATAAACTAGTTTGAGAAAAATAAATGTCAAAAAGTTATTTTTGAATTTTTAAAAATTATTTCTACTCACCAAATATTAAATTATATAAAAATGATAAATCTTTTACATTTTTATATTTAATTTTTTTACCAAATTAATTTTTAGAATGTGTTTTGGATGATGATCATGTAATATATGGTTACTTTTGTTGATATTTATAGACGGTTATCATGTACTATATGATTATTTTTGTTGTTGACAGATATTTTTAGATAGTTATCAAGTAATGAAGGCTTATTAGGCTTTTAATGTGTAATTGATATATTTAATATAGGAAACGTTTTTAGTTATGAATTTTTTGATTTAATAAATTGGTTTAATAGTGATATTAAAGTTATAGCCATGTTTGGCTTTTGAAAAAATAGAAACCAATTTAACGAAAATAAATATAAAAATAAAAATAAATTATTTAAAAAAATTATTTCTACCCTCCTAAAAGATAAAATTATATATTCACATGTTATTAATATTTTTTTACCAATTTAATTTCTAGTTTCTTCGAAAAAATTTTAGAAAATAAATTTTGAAAACCGAACTAAACAGAATTTTATAACTAAGAAAGTACCAGCATTATTTATTTAAAAAAAGGCCATTATATTTTAAATAGCATACAAGTTAATCAATAAAAAATAAATTATATGACGACTTTACCCTTAAAATAAATTATCGACAAAAAAAATAATTATTCTTATTTAGAATAAAATTTAAAATTAAATATATTATAATTAAAATCTCAGGACGGTTAATGTGAGGTTAGAAGGGTTTTGGGAGGATCTGGGGTGCCTATTGTGCTGGTTTATGGCCTCATTTTAAGGTCCGGTTTGATAATGCGAACCGTTTATATTTTAAAGTATATCAAGTAGAACATACTTATAAAATATCAAATTAATTGAATATCGTTAACTTTTTCATCTACTCACATTTGTATCTATAAAAATAAATGATATTGTGAATTAAAGTATTAAAATTAATACAAATGTGAATAGATGAAAATGTTAACGATATTCAATTAATTTAATTTTTTATAGATATATTTTACGTGATATACTCTAAAATGTAAACTATTCGAACTATTAAATCGGATCCTAAAATGAACCTATAAGGTAGCACCCAGATCTGTTTTGGGATGTGATGGACAGTGGGTATGGTGTTTTTCCCTGGTGTGATCTAGTGGTGTGTTTTGGTTTGAAAGGGGGAATATTTTATTAGAGGGTTGATGGGTTGTGATGGTTAGCAGTGGATGGTGTTTGTCCTAATTGGGGAATAGTTGATGAATTATCTTTGTTAGTGGGGTGGGGTTTGGTGTAAAAGCGTGATCTAGGGTTTGGTGTGTTAGAGTTAAGTTCTTAACTCTTTTTATTTTTGTTTCTGGTTATTTTTTCGTTCTGTTGTTTTGTTGTTTTAAAAAAATTATGAGGCTGAGGTTGGTTTGATGATTGTGGTAGCAGTAGTAGGGATAGTTTGTACTTTTTGAAATCTCTCTCGATATTTATCATCTTCCTATGTCGTTAATTTCATATTTTTAATTAAATTTTTCTTTACTGATCATATATATATATATATATATGAGCTGATAGTATAATTCATCCAAAAATAAATACAAATAAATAGCAAATATTATAAATTTTAATAATTAAAATTATAAACTTTACCATAAATTTGTAATAAAATTTTTCTAAAATTATTGAACAGTGATATCCCCAAAGTTATTTGGTGCTCCAGGTACCACATGACTTTGCTAACAACTAATTACTAATTGTCAATTTGTCATAAGTTCTTATCATTTCTCAATTATCAACATAAATTAATGTGGGCTCACTTTTTCCATCAATCATATTTGGTTTGTGGCTCAACTTGTTTGTACTTTGTACCATGGGGCTGCCAATAACTTTTAAAAAATTGGTATGACAATGATTTAAACTAATGGGAACCGTAAAAATATTCAACACGATTAGAAGACTCAAATTATGCATGAAATTAGTGAGTAATAATTATTTTATTGATATGAATATGAATATAACATGACTTAATAATATAAATATTAAATATGTTAAATTAGTGTCAAATATATGTAACATTAAGTTTTTGTTTAATGAAAATTAACTGTATATTTTAAAATTATTTCCATTAAGAGGTGTCATTAATTTTTTTGAGTATTTGTGTAACTCCATCCATCCAAATAAAATATGTAAAACAAGTTTTGAGGTTAATATAACTTTTATTTTATTTTTCATTTAAGATATTGTATTTTTTAATTATTTATTTTAGAGTCAATATTGTACAAAAATATGATAATAGGGTGTGACTATTTAAAATTAGAGAAATGAATTGAGTTGACATCAAATATTCTTTAAATAATTTCATTTCGTAAAATTTAACTTGTAAGAAAATTTTAATTTTGTTATATATTTACTATTTTTAATTTTGTATGGCCCTTAATGGGAGGCTTTGAAAAAGACTTTTATTTTTATTTTTATTTTTAATGTGACACAATAACATGACAAAGAATGAAGGCTATTTAATCCAACAAGGCTACATGTACACTGGTGCAACACTACCCCTATGGCACTGAACTCAGTTGTCTTCCTCCATGAGCTCGCCATGGCTTTTCTCATCTTCCTCCTCACCCACTTCTTCATTCAATCCCTCTCCTCAAACCGGCTTCCTCCAGGCCCACGAGGGCTTCCACTCATTGGCGCCCTTCCCCTCCTAGGAGCCATGCCACATGCTACACTAGCAAAAATGGCTAAAAAATATGGACCCATAATCTACCTCAAAATAGGCACTAGTGGTATGGTGGTTGCCTCAACTCCAGCTTCCGCTCGAGCATCTTGGGAACTCCTCTTTATTTGGATGAGCCAACTTTCAAGAGAAGCAGACTTACATTTGCAAGAATTTGTATTGAAGTACTAGCAAATAAAGAGATCCCTAAGTCTTTCAAAATAAATCTTGGTTATGGTGACCCATACGAGATTCAAGTTGAGGTACCATGTAAAGAGAAATGAAGTTCCTGATATTATTCAATGTTAACACAAAAATACAGAGATGATCTATGTATATATAACAAGAGATCATAACTTCCTAACCAACAATTAACTACTTGTGGTTAAGGCCTAACAAACTAACTAGCTTCCTAACAAACTAACTACATCAAGAATAGTCTAGAAGGCACATGCACTGATATAAGCTGAAGCCTTCTGTGCTGAAGCCGTAGCTTGAGTAGCTGGAGTGGCTGCTTGAGTAGCTTGAGTGGCTGCTTGAGTAGCTGCTTGAGTAGCTTGAGTATCATGCTTATCAGCCCCCCTCAAGCTCAGGGGACTGGGAAGGACATTGAGCTGGTGCTGAAGATATTGAAAACGAGTAACAGAGACGAGATTCAAGTTGAGGTACCATGGAAGCCTCAAAGGTGTGATGGTTGTAAGACTTTTGGCCATACCACTAATTTGTGCCCTCAAAAGCCAAAGTCTTTGAACCCTCCCTCCTTCAAACATGAGTGGAGAGTCAAGGACACTAAAACACAAATTCCGACTAAATGGGAAGTGGTGAAGAAAAAGGGGAGAGATAGTGGGCAAGGTTCAACGTCATTGATCAACAAAGAGAAAGAGACGCAGTCTTCTGTCCCCTCAACATCTAATGCCTTTGATGTCCTTGAATCGTGTGATATGGACGAGTTAGGAAATGGAGATTCAAGTCAAGAGTTGAGAAACAGAGGGAGTCCATCTCCAAGTGATCCTAGTTATGGGGAGACTTCAAAAGAGGATAACAGAAGAAAACTTAAAGCGAAACTTCATGACTTGAAGAATGCTAGAAGGAACTTCTGAATCCTTGTTTTGTTGGGAATGTTGTGCTTGTTTTCTATAAGTTCAGTTTGTCTTTTGATGGAGTAGTTTATTTTGATTATTTTTGTGCTCCCATCAAAAGCTGTGTATTGAATTTCATTGTATATCTTTCTTTTTTGATTATAATATGACTTACTTATCCAAAAAAAAGAGCTTCTGCTCGAGCGTTCCTCAAAGCGCTGGACACCAATTTCTCTAACCGCTCACCCAACGCGGGTGCAACCCACATGGCCTATAGATCCCAGGGCTTGGTTTTTCCCGATTACGGACCTAGGTGGAAGTTGCTTAGGAAATTAGGTGACTTACACATTCTTGGCGTGAAGGCTCTTGAGGGTTGGGCCCCGTTTCGCACGGTTGAGCTTGGCTACGTGTTGAAAGTTATGCACGATTTGAGTTGTCGTGGTGAGGCAATGGTGGTGGCGGAGATGCTGTCGTTTGCGATGGCAAATATGATAGGGAAAGTGGTGCTCGGCCGGAGATTGTTTGAGAAACAGGGTTTGGAGTCTAATGAGTTTAAGGACATGGTGGTGGAGCTCATGACTAAGGCTAGGTTTTTCAACTTTGGTGATTTTGTGCCTTCGTCTGTTGCGTCATGGCTCAACTTTGGAGGAGTTGAGCTTGGGACGAAGCATATACGTAAGAAGTTTGATGTGTTTTTAACAACGATGATTGACACTACAACAAGTTGGGTCTTGGATGACGAATTTTTTTCGTCTCCAAAGAGCTAATTTCGTCACTATAGATATTTGTGAGGAAATATTTTCGTCACCGGGTTCGTCATTGAATGCTTGTCACTAAAAAGCATCGTGACGAAAAATAATTTCGTCACCAATGAAATTACTTTAGTGACGAAACTTTTTGTCACCAATAAAACAATATTTTGTCACCAAAAATCCTCATTTTCGTCACCAAATAGTTATTCAGTACCACATTTATAACTTTAGTTGACGAATAAATTTGTCACTTTGTAGGTGCACAGAATCCAACAAAATCTTCTAACATGAACTATGGCATATTAAATATAGGGAAATGCTAAGTTTCTTGAAAAAGGGATCATGAAAACCATCATGAAAGGATCTGCACCGTCAGATCAGGTATGATTTTCATGATCTAACAGTGCAGATCCTTTCATGATGGTTTTCATGATCCCTTTTTCATGAAACTTAGCATTTCCCTATATTTAATATGCCATAGTTCATGTTAGAAGATTTTGTTGGATTCTGTGCACCTACAAATTTTTTTTCATTTTTGTTATAGTATCCGAAACACCAACTCATTAATGATATTTAACTAGGGATTCATAATGTTTTACTAATATTTTTATTAAATATCTCATATGTAAGTCTCACATTATGTAAGTTTCACACCTATATGAGATATTTAATAAAAATATTGATAAAATATTTGAGATTCCTAAAAATACTCTATTCACTATACATGATAACATAGTTCTAAATCGCGGTATCGGGTAACGTAATAGTATCGATCGCGGAGTATCGGTATCGATAGTATCGACTGGTATGTATTGGGAATCGGGTGTCCCGGTCGTGAAATATTAGAAATCATTAGCAATCCCTCTAAAACTCAATTTTCTGTATTTTTTTTTACTCTTTTAACCTTAATTTATTATATTTTAATCAAAATTTTGATATGCAAGAACACTTTTGACTCATTTTCAACTAAATGATATGTTAAACTTTTAATAAAAAAAATTGATATGAAAATATTTTTTAACTTATTTTAACAATGAAATACTTCCAAATACACAACAAATCCACCATAAACACAATCACCTTCGTGTACCTGAGAGTATCTCTGTTTTCTTATCCATTTCATTCCCCCGTGCCATATTATAAATATAGCCACGAACATTCCTATTCCCTCTCTCTCTCTCTTTCTCTCTATCTCTAAAAGATGTAGAATAGTGGCGTCACGACACAAAAAAACAGAAAAAAAAAAATATAATATATATATATATATAATATGCCATAGTTCTTGTAAAAAGATTTTGTTGGATTCGGTGCACCTACAAAAAAAATTTCATTTTTTGTTTTTGTTAAAATTCAATGTATAAAAAGAAATAGAGAATTGTATTATTGATTAATGTGTTGATATTCTGTGTATATTACAAGGAGATGTGCACTCTCTTTTATAGAGAGGCAAAGATACATAGGGTGGCATAAAGCAAAGGATAATTATTAAAGCTAACATAATGCTGTACTAAACATAATGATAACACTAGCAATACTAACATAGAATACTAACATCACTAACATATAATACTAACATATTTTAACAGCCCCCCGCAAACTCAAGGAGGATAGGTACTAACCAACTTGAGTTTGGAGAGAGTAACAAAACAGAAAAATAAACTGAAAAATAAAACAGGATAGGAGACACGGTATGGTCGTGTCAGACCGATGTAGCAGACAGTTTATGGGGTCATGTCGGACCGTTGTTCTCAGTTAGAACACAAAGTTATATGAAAGCTTACCGATTATAATCAAATAAATGATGAGTGCACCGAGATTCGTAACCATGACGCAAACTTGCAGAGCAATGGATTGTGAGGACCTCCGGATCGGAGTCGTAGAGCTTGACCTGGTTCAGGCCTTGCGACTTGAGGAGTTGAACTACTTGGGATGGTGGTGGTGGATTGTCTGCGATGCGGCCGTAGTTTACTCCGATGGAACCCGTATCGGAAAATGAAGAAACAATGGGTCGAAGAGGGTTTCTGTGGAAGAGGGGGGTGATCTCCCTCGGCTTCACGAGGTCGTCGGTCTCCGACACCGTCTTCAGCGGCGGCGGCGACACCGGAACCGGCCTGGCGGAGAAGCTCCGGAGTGGAGCCTCGTCGAGGTCGTCAAAACCTTCGTCGAAATTGAGAGAGTAACTGAGCGGATCGTACCTGAAGTCCACCGCGGACGAGGAGTGCCTCCGGTGGTGGTGGTGGCGGCCGATCCGGCTGATCAGGTGCTTGCACTTTCGGACCCCTAAAAAGTCGCACCCTCAAAAGGTGTGCCCAATCTGTTAAAAGGCGTGCCCTCAAAAAGCGTGCCCAATCCATAAAAAGACGTGCCATCAAAAGGCGTGCCATCAAAAGACGTGCCATCAAAAGGCGCGCCCAAGTTGTCGGCGAGCACCGAGAGGCGCATGATGCGCGTGTCTGCCTCTTCATCATGGTCTTTATAAACCGAAGCGGAGGCTGAGGCTTGGAAGCATAACAAACCAGTTGAAACCTCTTCGTTCTCTGAGAGCTTGTCGCTAAGAGCTGCAAATCTTGAAACACTCTGTAACCAACCTTTCTCTGAAACACTCAGCAACCCATAACATGGCCTCGTCTTCCCGTTCAGCTACCCAGAATATGGCCTCTTCGTCCCGTGGTCTGCTCACTCTCTTTCCCGACCTCAACGGGTCAACAAGAGAGATAACTGGTGCGGTGGCCAGTGAACCTCAACCAAGCGCCTCTGGTTTTGCTTCGTTGAACTTTCCGATGCGGTCGGTGGAGCAAAAAATGGCGGTGCAAACGGATATTGAGGCCAATCAGTATACTTTGAAGTCATGTGTAGAGACCATGACGGCAGTCACAAACCTGTCACACCGGCTGCAGAGTAGGACAAATGAGGTGCAGCAGTTAAACGCCCATCTGGCTCTGCTCCAGCGCATGTATAAGGATGCGCGAGCAGAGATAAGTGTGCTAAAGGCGGAAAATAAGGAGCTGAAGCGGAAGGCCACCGTGAGTGTGCTAAAGACAGAAAACAAGGAGCTGAAGCGGAAGGCCACCGTGATGTTCCGATTTGGAGGTCCACCATATGCTATAGTGGAGGAGCAGGGGGAAGTAAATGTGCTTGGTGGATTAGGAAGCACAGAAGCAGCACCGTCAAGGACCGCCCAGGACGGAGGCAAAAAAAAGAGACCGGCGGCAGAGTAGGTCGGTGGATGGCCGTCTGCAGAAAAGAAAACAAAACTGTTGTTGTTGTGATTTTTTTTTTTTTTTTTTTTTTTTTTTTTTTTTTGTGTATTTTTGTTGTTGTTGTTGTTGGTGTTGTTTTTTTTTTTGGTGTAAAATGTGGATCGGGGTTGATCCCGGAGATGAATAAAATATGGTTTGGTGTGCAAAGCGATATGGTAGGAAAGGGAATAAAATATGGGTTGTTGTGCAAATTTTCTTCTGCGTCTTTTTTTTTTTTTTGACTCATACCCATGTTCGCCGGATGGAAGGCGAAAAATAGAGAGGTAGAAAATAAAGTATAAAAGAAAAGAAAATTGAAGAGAAATGGGTGAATGTGAAAGGAATAAAAAATTAAAAAGGAATGTGAGATTCAAATGTGGTTGGACAGGTCCTACACTAATGGAAAAATAAGAGAAGGGTATGGGGTTTGTTTGCTTTTCAAAAGATGGATTAAAATAAATATAAAAAAAAAAAAAGAAAAGAAAGTGGTGTGGGGAACAGGAAGGAAAAAAAGAAGTGGAGACCATGATGAAAGGAATGACTGAACCAACCTCTCTCTCTCTCTCACACACACACAGCTTCAAGTGTATGGCTATTCTACTTCTGATGAGGATGTTGCTACTCCACATCTCAGTCCTCTTAATAAAATTCATACACTCAATCATATGGGTTCCATTGAAGTTTCAACGACACTTTAGGAAGCAAGGCATAGGGGGGCCTAGCTACCGTCCGATCCTCGGAAACTCGGCCGAGATCAGTCGGCGCATGATTGCCGAAGCCGAATCGAGGCCGATAACTGTCAACCATGACATTGGTCAGAGGGCGATGCCGGACTACTACAACTGGTCAAGGGCTTATGGGAAGACATTTCTGTACTGGTTTGGACCAAAGCCTCGGTTGGCTATAGCCGAACCAGAGATGATAAGAGTGGGTCCTTTGAGAAGCTTGAGTTCAACCCTTTGTCCAAGCTGCTCTTTGGACAAGGACTTCGTGGTTTGACCGGTGACACCTGGGGGTTCTGCCGTGTACGACGAGGTGGGTCACGAGAAATTGCTCGGCGTGGACAGAGTGGTGGAGGGGGAGACCAGGGAACTCAAGGTTGACGCCGACGAAGATCCGACCGTCGGATCCTAATCTGACGGCGCCGACGTGGAGAGAGGAGGGCGAGCTAGGGTTTGAGCTGATTAGACGAAGGTAGGGAGGAGTTGGAGGAGAGAGAGGCCTGAGTTAGTCGCCATTGATGAGGCCTCTGATGCTGCAATCACAAATCTGGGTCCATCCATTTTGGTGAATCAATGGTGATATATATGCGTGTGTGTGGGTATGTGGATATATGTATGTAGATTGGTCTTCCTCTGTGAATATGGGAAGGAGAGAAGATGGGGTTGGGAATGGTGCCTGGTTGGATTTGAGAGAGACAGGAGGGGGGAGGCATGTGTAGAGGTCCGGCGGACGGCCAAGGCAAGGTTGCCGCCCGTCGGTGAAACAGAATTACTAGTTTCTTAACCTTGCTCTGATACCATGTAAAATATATTGATAGAGATAAATTGTATGTATTATTGATTGATGTATATTGTTTTGTATATTACAAATGGTGAGTGACTCATTATATAGGAGAGGGTGAGTGTAGTAGGTGAGGAGTAGGTGAGGAGTAGGTGGTGGTAGGTGAAGGTAAATTGGTGGTAGGTGATGGTAAATTTTAACACTATATATACACAACATATATTAGCAGTTGGTGCAATCACAATGCGTTTGCAATTTGAGCAATGGTAGAGGCTGTACTAAACATAATGATAACACTAGCAATACTAACATAGAATACTAACATCACTAACATATAATACTAACATATTTTAACAGTTTTAGCATCCGAAACACCAACTCATTAATGATATTCAATTAGGGATTCCTAATGTTTTACTAATATTTCTACTAAATTTTTTATATGTAAGTCTTACATCATGTCAATCTCACACTCATATAAGATATTTAGTAAAGATGTTAGTAAAACATTTGGAATTCCTAACAATACTCTATTCACTATACATGATAAAAGTATTTTATCCTACGGCTACAAATGAGCAAAGTTGGACAGAAATTTTGGGTGTTGATGCCTCTTTGCTAAGAATTAGTCGATCTTAATAATCAAACTTGAGCTCAGCTTGTTAAGTATTCGAGAAACTCGAACTCTACTTACGCTGTGTTTGGTTGGGGGATTTGGGAAGGGAAATAGAAAGGGAAATGGAAATGAAAGGAAAAGGAGAAAGAATTAATAGAATTCCAAATCCCAACTATGTTTGGTTGTGTTGGTTATAAAATAGAATTGATGTCCTAAAAGGTATCCTATTTCTTTATTTATTTCTCACCCCCTTTCTTTTCCCATATATTTTTTATTATAACCAAACATAAATAGGATTACATTTCTCATTCCTTTTCCAAACCCCACCTCAAAAACTCCAACCAAACACAGCATTAGTCAACTAAATTATATAAATGAGTTGAATTTCAACTTAAACTTGGACTTCAAAAAAAAAAAAAAACACTTAAATTAATTTGTTTATTAAATAAAAAAGACAAAATTATGAACAAAATGTAAATTAATGCTTATAGTAATATACGCAAACATAAATAATAAAATAAAATAAATACTCAAAATAGATTTAATATATTATTATAAATAAATATTAATTTGTTCTCTTGAGGTTTACTTACCTTATTGAACCGAGCTTGCGTTAATTCGAGCTCAACTCAATTATTAAAGGAGCTTAAAAATTGAGTTCAAGTTTGTCCATTTATAAAACAAACTGAACTTCAACGAGTTTTAAATGAGTCGAATCCAAATTGTTTATAAATAGTTTGATTGCTTTGTCGGCTTAATCCTAACTTTATTGATATCAAATTGTTACATTTGTATGCATGTACTTAATTTTCACATTCCATGCTATAAATACAGTTTCATTTCCTTTGCCAGAATATATTTACTGCAGGCACAGATACATCATCGAGCATTATTGAATGGGCACTAGCGGAGATGTTGAAAAACCCAAAAATCCTAAACCAAGCTCAGGAAGAGATGGATCGAGTTATAGGCCGAAACCGAAGGCTAGAGGAATCCGACATACCCAAACTCCCATACTTACAAGCCATATGCAAGGAAACATTTCGAAAGCACCCCTCAACACCTCTCAATCTTCCTAGAGTCTCGGCCGAAGCTTGTGAAGTGAATGGCTGCTACATTCCGAAGAACACTAGACTTGCTGTGAACATATGGGCAATAGGGCGAGACCCGGATGTGTGGGAAAACCCACTAGATTTTATCCCTGAAAGATTTTTGAGCGGAAAGAATACAAAGATAGATCCGCTTGGAAACCATTTCGAGCTTATACCATTTGGATCTGGAAGGAGGATCTGTGCCGGTGCTAGAATGGGGGTTGTGTTTGTTGAGTACATTTTGGGCACATTGGTGCACTCTTTTGATTGGAAACTAGCTCATGGGGCTGCTGAGCTCAACATGGATGAAGCTTTTGGTCTTGCACTGCAGAAGGCTGTGCCTCTTTCGGCTATGGTGAATCCCTGGCTTCCAGCTAGTTTGTATGTTGCAGCTTAAGGGCCTGTTTAATGCTACAGATCATGAATTCAGATACAAAAAAAATACTAAGAAAAACAGTGTAGGGTTCATACTCATTCTAAATATAAGCTCCAATATAAAATTTGAGTTTGGATGACACACTGTTTTCTTTGTTATTTTTCTGTGTTTGAATTCTTAATCTGTAGTATTATTGGTTATCAAGCTTTTCTTAAAATGTTTTTTTCCTCAAACCTAAGTAATTTTAAATTTATTTTCTAAACTTGTTTTATTTTTCTGAAGTCATGTTTTGAATCATATTTTCAAAACATGGCTTTAAAAATTTTAAAACAGTTTGAGTTTACAAAATAAATTTAAAATCACTTTGATTTGAGTCATCGAAGTCGAGTCACAAATAAAGCCCATGGAGAAGTCTGTTATTGGAAATAATTCGAAATTTTTCATGCAAAAAACAATTTGGTATGAAAAAGATCTAGTCCATTGTCAAGTACGTGCCAATATGTGTCTCTTAGCATTCCAATGTGTGAGTTGTTAGTTATCTAAGCGTGTATTAATTACAGAATTCGCATAATATCTAGACTATTTCATGTGTATTATAGTCACTCCGTTGTCTTTAAAATATGTATGTTATGTAATGACGCAACATATTAAATGAATATTTTTTCGGCAGTGATAGGTACCTCGAAACCGAGCGGCTCGAAATGGCTCGAATTCAAAAACGGCCTCGTTTTTGGTAGCTCGAGAGTTTTGGCTCGAAAAAGTGAGAGAGAAGGAAGAGGGAGAGGGAGAGGCTGGAGGAGGGGGAGGAGGAGGAGGAGGGACTGGAGGGGGCCCAACATTTGGGGCTGGAAGCGGGGGCCGAGGGGCGGAGGCGAGGCAGAGCCGGCGATCGTTGGTGCTGCGACGATCGGCGGCAGCGAGGCGACGACGGTGGCGATGGCGAGGCGAGCAGCGACGATCCTCTCTCCCTCTTTCTCCTCTGTTCTTCCTCGTCTCTTCTTCCTCTCTTCTCTCCCTCTTTCTCCTCTGCTTCTTCCTCCTCTCTTCTCTCCCTCTTTCGAGCCAATTCGAGCCATTGGATTCGAGCTACGGCTTATTTCTGATATTTTTTATCGTAATATAAATCAGTTCTTTATATATTTGGGTGATCGTAGCATTCAAGCCAATTATGTTGTTAAATAGAATGACTTAAGTCCATAAATTAAATATGGAAAAACTTATGTTGAGGAGGTTCAAGTTAGAGTCGGTAGTGGACGAGATCTGGTCCTATCTTTCCCATCAACGGAGGTCATGAGGGAAAAACTTATGTCTATGAAGAGCTGGCTCAATGAATGGTGCGATTCAGTCCTCGAATGGAAACAGGGGATGTCCTTGGCTCAAGAACGGCATGTTTGGCTTAGTTGCTATGGAGTTCCACTAAATCTTTGGAATTGTAACACTTTCATTAACATTGGCAAGGTGTGGGGTGTTGTGTCTGCTTTAGATGAGGACACTCGTAACTTAAACCATTTTCAATATGGAAAAGTGAAGATTACGACAAGCTTTATGGAACCCATTAATCAAATCCTCAATTTAGAATGCAAGGGTGTTCTCTACCCAGTTAGGGTGTGTGAGGAGCAAGTCATCTTCATCAAAGACACAAAGTTGTCTGGTCTCAGCAATTCATCTGAAGGGTATTTTGGTGGAAATCGAAATGCTACTCTTGTAAAAAAGGACAATCAGATTGCTGATAGAGGGAGCAAGCATGAGGAAGATGATGACCATGTGGCTATCCTTGATGGCAATGAGGTGGACCCGAGTGCTGAGGTGGAACGAATAGCAGCTGTGGAAGCACGTGAGAGCAGTAACGTCATGGTGGAGGATGACCAGCTCAGGGACACTTCGGTGGTGGCTGAATCAGGTCTGCAAATAGGTATGTCAGAAGATAACGGCTACGCATGCGAGTCCGGATCCTCTGCCGTGTTTGTCTGCAGCGCTTCCTGCGGTGTTACCAAAACGATGTCGTTTTGGTATTTTTTATTTTTTTTCTTTTCCTTTCCTTTCCTCCTTTATTGTTTGCTATGAAAGGTCTCAAAGGTTTGTTTGAGAGACCACAATAGAGAGGCGAAGAGGAGACAGGTGATCGGACGGAGGTGAAACGACATCAGTCGGTGAGTCGGCAAACCTTTGGGTTTGATTTCTCATGTGTTTGATTTCTTGGGTTTTCTGTTCAAAAAAAAGATTTCTTGAGTTAAAGAAAGTTGTGAGCAAGAAAAAGCTAGGGCTTGCTTTGATGGGTATGAATCTTTGAAACTTGCAAACGAGATTGAGAGAAGAAAAAATTCCCATTGTGTGGTTTTCTTTGAGGATATCTCTGGTACATTGAAGCAAGAGGCACATTGAAAAGCCCCCAAGTTGTAGCCCAAGATCTATAGGGAGCAGTGAGTTCCTCAACCCAATAACCCATGAAGTGATTTTGAGGAATTCAAGGTGTGAGCTCAAAATTACTGGTTTTGGGGGAGGTGGTGGTGGTTTGGGTTTGATTTCTTCTTGGGTTTGATTTCTCATATGTTTGATTTCTTGGGTTTTCTGTTAAAAAAAAAGATTTCTTGGGTTTGATTTTTTGTGTATGATTTCTCATGTGTTCCTTTTATTAATTTTCTCAATGGGTCTAATCTTGACTCATCTGGTAAGATTTCCAATATTATATTGCGAGTGATGGGAATTACTTCACCAGAAAAAATATATGTTAATATGTTTTCAGGCTATTGCAAAAGAGAATTACTTCACCAGAAAAATAAGAAATGGTTTGGTGATGATTTTTTTTTTTTTCAAGTTCATACCCATTTCCCCAAAGTTGAGTTGAGTTGGAAAGGAATTCTACATTTTCTCGGAAAGCAAACAAATTTGGGCCCACTAGTGAAGCTTGAACTCCAAAACGCCTAGTGAAGCAAACAAATTCCGTCTCTGTTCTTGCTCTGTTAGGTGGGTTAGGATTCTCAACCTGTGAGAGAAGAAACCAAGGGAAAGGAACAGAAAAGAAAGCAAGAGGAAAAAAAAAACCAAAACAACGTCGTTTTGGTAGCGCCGCAGGAAGTGCCGCAGACAAACACGGCAGAGGATCCGGACTCTACGCATGCCAGGATAGCTCTGCAAGACTACTGGTGAGTCCTAAGGTGAGAGCCGTTGATGGCGGTGGGAGTTTCGAAGGTGAAATTCAAATTCAAACTTCTGGAGTGATCAAAACCTTGTGTGGGACTGAAATTATGGGCCGAGGGATTAATTTAGTAGTGGATCTGAAATCAACCAATGAGTCTAATGGATCTGGTGTGGGCTTAGTTTTGGACCATTCGGTTGTCGGCCCAAGTAAGCTAGCTCCTCTCAATGTTGGGTTGGCCCCTTTGGATGTATGCAACCTAAGTTTACCTTCTGCTCCGATCCTCCAAAGTGATGGGGTTCTGGGTCATCTTCATCCCCGACATATAGGGGGGTTGAGTGTCACTAGCTCACCCCCAAATAGTTTCACTCCTTTAAGCTTACAGAGGAAAGCAGCAAGCAAAAAGCATCGGCAGATGAAAAGTTTACAGTTTGGACCTTCTAGATTCGGGAAATCAACATTGAACCTGCGAAAGGGAGCTGTCTTCAGATCAGCAGCAGCTGCCACTTCACTCTCCATGGCAAATAAATCCAGTAGAGGGAGGATTGATCTGTCTGAGGCGGAAGTAACTTTGGAATTGGGTAAATCTCTCGGCATTGATTTTGAAGGCAAGGATGAGGAGGTTATTAGCAAACTGCTGCAGTTAGAAGCCAATGACTTGGAGAAAGTTAGAACACGGGTTGGGGATGCCAACTAGGCTATTGCTGTCAAGGGACCATTAGTGTATAATTTGTTTATATGAAGATTCAATCTGGAAAGTATAGTGGATATTTGCTGTGATGCTGGTATGCTTTGCTGAGTTTGAGTGTCTGGGTGGCAGATTGTCTGTGGTGGTTGAGTGTCTGTTATGCTGGTCTGCTGGCCTGCTGGCTGTATGGGTTGAATGTTGATGTGTTGGATGGTTGAATGGGTTGTAGTGCAGGTCTTCTGGCTGTCCAGGTTGAAAGCAAGATGGTCTGCTAGTTGTATGGGCTTTAATGCTGGGTTCTGGTTGTACGGGCCGTATTGCAAGTATCCTGGTTGTCCGGGCTGAAGGCAAGGTGGTCTGCTAGTTGATTGGGCTGTAAAGTGCTGTTTTGCTGGCTGTAGGTGGCCTTGTGGTGAAGTTGTTTGGCTGGGTGTGCTATTTTTTAGTTGTTTTCTTTCTGGTTTTTGTGTTTTTTTTTCTTCTGCTTCTTTTGTTCTCTTTCTGTTGGTTTCTCAACAACTGGCGCTTGGAGCTTTGTGTTAGCTCCAAGCTCCTCTTTATTGATGTAGTCTATCTTTTTTGGTTACTTTCATCAATAAAGATTTTCTTTGCCGATCAAAAAAAAAAAAATCCACAAATTACGAAGGATTTATGTGGTCATTTTCAAACGTTAAGATGGTAAATCATACATAACTCAAATCATAGGAAGTAAAGTGAAATTTTTCCTTTATACAGTAACACTTTAGTATTCACTTTTTGATGAAATTATTTTGATACAATTGTCAAATCGATTTATTTTTTGTATAAATGATCTTTTTTTTTTTTTTTTGAAACAGCAAAAAGAAACCTTGATTGATGATCAAACCATACAAGATGAGATTACATCAAAAAAAAAAAGGAGAGCAAGGGGTTTAGAGAGGAACCAAACCCAAACAGGAAAAGAAAAAACAAAGAAGAGAACAAGCAGAACAAGGACCTGCACACAGCTCCTCACACACCATCAGAACACTTCCAGGGGCAGTAGCAAGAGATTCAGTAGGCCATGACAGATGCAGATGCATACCCACATCTTAAAACCAAGAGTAGAACACAGGCAGATGCAGACCAACAACCACCAGAACCAACCCCATCCTGACATTGTATTGAGAAGAACCTGAAGCTCAAGACAGCAGCCCAGAACAACATATGAATAGGCCT